TAGGACATGCTTACACAGCTAGGACATGTTTATTTACCTTGGGCGTGTTTATATGGTTAGGACATGTTTATATACCTTGGGCGTCTTTAAATAACATGGACATGTTTATATAGCTAGGACATGCTTACACAGCTAGGACATGTTAATTTACCTTGGGCGTGTTTATATAGTTAGGACATGTTTATATACCTTGGGCGTCTTTAAATAACTTGGACATGTTTATATAGCTTGGACATGCTTACACAGCTAGGACATGTTTATTTACCTTGGGCGTGTTTATATAGTTAGGACATGTTTATATACCTTGGGCGTCTTTAAATAACTTGGACATGTTTATATAGCTTGGACATGCTTACACAGCTAGGACATGTTTATTTACCTTGGGCGTGTTTATATAGTTAGGACATGTTTATATACCTTGGGCGTCTTTAAATAACTTGGACATGTTTATATAGCTTGGACATGCTTACACAGCTAGGACATGTTTATTTACCTTGGGCGTGTTTATATAGTTAGGACATGTTTATATACCTTGGGCGTCTTTAAATAACTTGGACATGTTTATATAGCTAGGACATGCTTACACAGCTAGGACATGTTTATTGACCTTGGGCGTGCTTATATAGTTAGGACATGTTTATATACCTTGGGCGTCTTTAAATAACTTGGACATGTTTATATAGCTAGGACATGCTTACACAGCTAGGACATGTTTATTTACCTTGGGCGTGTTTATATAGTTAGGACATGTTTATATACCTTGGGCGTCTTTAAATAACTTGGACATGTTTATATAGCTTGGACATGCTTACACAGCTAGGACATGTTTATTTACCTTGGGCGTGTTTATATAGTTAGGACATGTTTATATACCTTGGGCGTCTTTAAATAACTTGGACATGTTTATATAGCTTGGACATGCTTACACAGCTAGGACATGTTTATTTACCTTGGGCGTGTTTATATAGTTAGGACATGTTTATATACCTTGGGCGTCTTTAAATAACTTGGACATGTTTATATAGCGTGGACATGTTTATATAGCTTGGACATGGTTATATAGCTTGGACAGGTTTATATAGCTTGGACATGGTTATATAGCTTGGACAGGTTTATATAGCTTGGACATGGTTATATAGCTTGGACATGTTTATATAGCTTGGACAGGTTTATATAGCTTGGACAGGTTTATATAGCTTGGACATGTTTATATAGCTTGGACATGGTTATATAGCTTGGACAGGTTTATATAGCTTGAACAAGTTTATATAATTTAGCCTTTTGTCATTTCTATTACAAACATTGTGTTACATGATTTAAAATATGAAAGTTTGGTACTTATGCAGGTTTGGATAATTTCCTTAGCTGCGTAGTCTTATAATGATTTGAAAACAATGTTAAGATGTTGTTGAGAGTCTGGTCACTTGCTGCGAAATGAGGAATTTTCTCATGGTCTGGTGAATGCTATGCTGTTAGGTCTCCAAAATTTTCAGAAAAATTATTTTGAATTATATTATGATTTTTAATCAGTTTTATTTTTTTTTATTGATGCTGTAAAGTTTGTTTAAAAAACAATTTTAATTATGGGATGAAATGCTTCGTATAATAAATTAATATTCAAAGGAGTTAGACAGGGTAGAACAGTGGTTCTCAACCTTCCTCATGCCGCGATCTATAATACAGTTCACCCGATTGTCTCGGGCGACCCCTGGGGAAGGTTCGCTCGACCCCCAAAGGTGTAGCGACCTACATGTTGAGAACCCCTGACGTAGAAGAATACATATTGGAAACCGAGGAAAAAAAATCACATGATCATATCTGAGAGTAGCCCAAGACCTTCAACCAATAGGCACTCTCTACTAGCAACACACTTCAGTATCTTGCATGTGCCGATGACATGACACTGACAGGGAAAGGTGGTAAAAATATATAAAAAGCCTTTATTGAAATAGATGACGAATCACTACAAGCACGGCTGGAAGTTCACAACCTAAAAAAAAAAAAATCACTATGTTAAGACAGAACAGACAGATGAAAACATTCAAATAATTTTCCTAACTTAATTATTAGAAACAACACTTTTGGAAAAAGTAAATCAATTTAAATATCCAGGATCCTTATTAAATGAAAGAAATGAAAAACTGACAGAAATACAAGAACGAATATCGGCGGGAAACAGGACTTCAGTTGTCACAAAGTACTCAAAAGTAAAAACACTACAAGGAAAACAACGAAATTATTTATAAAAATGTAATCAGACCAGTTGTAAAATAGGCAAAAGTGAAACCTGGACCCTAAAAAAAATGGCAGAAAACCAATGAACTAAAGGGAGAGTAAAGTTCTCCGGAAATTATATGGAGATGCAAAGGATAAATATGTATGGTGAACACGAAACAACCAGAAAATATATAGGCTATATAAGGATCCCGCGCTATTAGCAGAAATAAAATTGGGCAGGCTACGCTGGGAGTGATATCAAAATGCCAATTTATAGAGGAACGAAGAGGGTGCACCACCGAAACCCCAGAGAAAAACGACTCAAAGGCAGATCTAGGCTAAGATGGATGGATGATGTTGAAAAAGATCTACAGCAGCAGGAAATCAAAACATGGAAATGAAAAGCATCAGTTAGGTATGAGTGGAAGGAAGTGGTGAAGCAGGCCAAATCCCTAAATGGTCTGTAGCGACGCGTGGATGAATGAATGGAACACTTAGGGAAAAAGAATATTTTCTGCGATAAAAGAGGAAATGGATTGTTTGCGCTTTCATATCATTTGTGGTTGTCATGGTTTAGCTAAATTAACTTGGATTAGGTTACGCTAGCTAAATGAAAAAGAAAGAATTTATTCAGATTGAAATAATACTTTGAAAAATTTAAACATTGATTAATGGGGCTGTTAGCCCTACACAAATTACTACAATCGAGCTCAAAACAAGAAACATCATATTGGAACTAACCAAGCTACTAGTTTTTTTATTACAAAAATGTGGACGTTCCCCGTAGAATTGTACTGTAAAGTCTTTCCTTGATGATATATTTTGCTGTCGGCAATTTGTCATTTAAGCTATGTATTAAAAAAACGTTTTTAATGTATTGGGGTTGAGGATAAATTTCCTTCGTTAACTTGGGATTAGGACATAAACAAGTTTGAGAAGCTATGTACCCCAGTTACCGATCTAAATAATTGAATGCTGTTTACCAGATCTTGAAGAGCTCGGGCATTCTGAAAGTTAGTACCAGAGATTTCCCGGGAAAGAAGCATTCCCTGGAAAGTTATATTAGGCAAATATCGATCGGTATCCCAACTAGCAGCCCCAGCAGCGGACACCCACCCCCGCCCTTCACCTTCACCGGCAACAGTCACCACCCCACAGGGACCAAATATCTAACCCACTGTCTTTGTTCGAAAGATAGAAATGATAGATATTTTAAAAATATGACTTTGATGATTGGTCCAACAAGATCACGTGTCTCGTTCTAAATCAATATTTCCAGATACTGGCTGGTTTAACTTATGATACGACAAAAGATCTCTTGCGAATCAGTGTGCAATAAATAGCGAATTGCGCACTATAGAGCCATAGATGGACCAGCGGAATAGTTCGAATGTTAAAAAGCAACTTTAAAAAACAAGAACTTGTAATGTGAAATATCTACAACATATCGTTTGGCACATTTGTAAAAAAAAAAAAAATGAATTCAACATCTTTGTGACAAGGATTAAATCGTTATTTGAGTTTGAACAAATTTAGTGTCATTTTAATGATATATTTGTTCACTTTATTTTGGGAACTTCCAGCAGCGAGATTCCAAGTTTTAAACATTAAATAATGCATGCTCAAAATAAAACCTTTTAAGAAGATGAACGTCTCCATTTATTTTTTTAATTTTTATTGAAACGTTTTTAAAAAATTAGATTAAAATTACATAGTGTCCATTCCAACGTAATAAAGTATCGTATGCGAAATAAAGTCATATATGTAAAGGACAATTCTTTATCATTACTTTACATCATTTTAATTGATTCTTAAATTACTTTTTTTTTTTTACATTGAAGGAGAAACCTTCTGAAGACGTAACGTATTTTGTTTTTAAATGGACTCCAAGGCATTGGCACAGATGTCAAGTAAACTAAGTTTAATGCAGGTAAGATAAAGTACAAAGTTATCATACTTCCATTTATCGTTTTACAACAACAACAAAAATGTCAAAGAACTTAGTTCTGCTTCCACGGTGCATGGTAGATCTTTCTCTTGTATCGTGACCAGCAAAATAAATTATCCGGATGACATAGGCTCTAATATAATTTTAAAAAAATAGATTTTAATTATTACATCGTGATGAAACATTTGTCAGTTAAACAAATGGTTCTTTAATTTTCAATCTGTGATCAATAACTTTTAGTTAAAAAAGGGGGGGGGAGGGATTGGTTTTTCATATGTTTTGTTTTAAATGTTTACGCAATTTAGATATAAATTGCATCAACATTTTCTCAAAGAGTGTTACTTTACAACTGTTTCGTCCGTGACACAGACACATTATTTCTAGCAGAGGCTCAAATACCCTTCTTCGATGGACACCATTAACTTTTTTAGAGGTGGGCAGTTGAATATGTTATGATATCTGCTCAAAAAAAGTTAATGTAACATAGTAGCCTGGGTTGTTTGGTCAGGGATAGCATCAATGAGGTTTTCCCTCTTGTGAACCCGTTAGATAAGCTACTAAAGTCTCTTGCGAACACGTTAGATGAGCTACTAAAGTACAGTGACGGGACCAGTTTACCGTTTTTAATTAAATTGAATGGTTGGATTAGCAGGTTAGGCTAATTTGTTTGAATGCTTCTCAAAAAATTATAGCCACTATCGTTACAGAAAAACGTTTTGGCTACTTCAGTCCAACAAAATTGCTTGAACTTGTTGTTTTTCGGGCCACCCGGCCATGGGAAGAGTTCCAGTGCTAATTTACTCCTCGGGAGAAACCACTTTGATGTATGCCACGACGGCGAGGCCACGGAGGCAACCTTCAAGACGGGACTGACCAGCTCGAATGAGTTTGAGATAAAAATTCTGGACTGCCCGGGTGTCAGGGGACTCCTGGACCAAACACAGCTGCTGAGCAAATGTGACATGTGCATGTCCAAGTTCGCGAAAACCTTCCCCCAGGGTGTGCACGGGGTCGTCATGGTGATAAAGTTCGGGAACCGCTTCTTCGAAGAGGACGAACTCGCACTAACGCTTCTCACGCGGATGTTCGGGGAAGAGTTCCTGCAGAAGCACGGCGTGTGCGTCGTCAGCAACGGAGACGTCTTCAGGAGGGTCATGGGGCAGTCGTACAAACCCAGGTCGCTAGACGAGTGGTGCCGGGGCCAGACGGGCGTCCTCGGGAGGATTTTCAAAACCTTTGATTACAGGTGTGCCCTGCTGGACAACACGACCCAAGACATCGAAGAGAAGAAAGCACAGGTTCAACAGGTGGTTGAGAGGACGTGTGTGAAGTGGTTGCAGGTCGGCAGCTCAATGTCTGTTTGTAAGTATGTAATTTGGTAACCGGTAAAAACATTGGAAAAAAATTTTTTTTTTTTTTTTTTGGTTATATATTTAAACCAATACAATTTGAGGAAATCTATTTTTACTAGTGTGAAGTGGTGGGAGGTCGGCAGGTCAATGTCTGTTTGTAAGTATGTAATTTTGTAACCGGTAAAAACATTGGAAAAAAATTTTTTTTTTTTTTTTTGGTTATATATTTAAACCAATACAATTTGAGGAAATCTATTTTTACTAGTAATGATTATGTGGAATCTCAAAGATTATATTCTATGATCTATGATTGCAGGAATACAAAATTAACTCAATGTTGTTTTTAAAAGAAGACTTCCATAATATTTTTATTTATAAAAATTCGTGTCATATCCTTTAAATATGCTATTGTGATGCTATCTTGTATGTATTTAGTCAACTTTTTCCGGAAGGCTTTGGGGTAAGAAATACCAGGATCACCTCCTACCCCGGAAGTCGTGTTGGCTTGATTACGGATGTGATGGTTTTTATTGAAGGATTAAAGTACCAAATATAATCAGGATGTCACGACGACGTTACTGCGTTCTCAAATATTGTTTTACTCTGCAGCCCTTTGCATCAAATCAACTCATGCTATTTTTAAATTCAAGAGCTCTAGCCATATTGATTTAGATTGTATCATATGTTTGTTGTGTGTGTGTCACCCTTGGCTACCGAGAAAAGCCAATCAATAAACCAATACAAGCAATAGCGTGTCCTAACAATGGCGGCTTTCGTGCGTGAACTTCCTAGCTACTAACGTCACTTGACCAAACATGCATACTACAATTCTAATGTCACAACCAGTTTTATATCGCAGATTTATTACACCACCTTTATCCGTAGAACAGAAGAAAATATTACGCACCAAATAAATGCACGTGTAGTATATTTTATAACCTAAAATAGCACAGTTATCGGGCATTTTATTTACCGCGCTTTTAAACTTCCGATAGCATTAGTGACATTAGTTTTGCCATAGAGAATTATGAATTTTGATTTTTCTTTGTTTGATCATCTGTGTTGCTTTCACGGTCCTTCATTTTGTCTGTATTCATTAGGCTTAGAATTCAACACCTCTCATCACTCTTAAATATATTTAAATACATTAAATGCAAATGCTTGACCAGTTTTTTGTGTGACCTTGCAAACGCATTCAGGCTCTTCACGTGAGATCATTTCCCTCGACTGCTTGTCCAGCGTCTGTCCTTTCTCGTACGAAGTCAGACCCGCTACTAATTAGTCATGGAGTCGTCACACGTCTATCGGTCCGCCATGTTCTAACCTAATCTTTACACGTGGAGCTGCATTTCTAGGTCACTTCTTTACTCTACATTACAGCTCCACAGTTAAGGGCCATGGTCGACATTCACATGATCCTGGAGGTAGCTACGACCACGCAAGAGTACCACAAACAGCTCAAGTTCACCATTGAATACACACAAACATTCGACGTCACCAGAACCTCAGTTCTAATAGTCGGTGAGACCAAGACCAGAACGTTTGGCTTTGACCAGTTCAAAAAGCACGAAGAACTGGCCAGTGTAAGTTAAGCCAGTGGCGTAGCTAAGAGGAAGTAAAGGGGGCGACAGACCTGGGCGGCATCTTCTGACTATTTATATGTATATACAAAATCGAAGTTTGTGTTGGATAGGTTGTTAACTTTTGGGAGTTCATCACGGGCTGCATGTAGTCAAGGTACGCTTTTGAATGAAACTGATTTTAATCAATTACTTATTAATGTACGCATATTATGTAATTCCTATCAGTTAATGTACACTTGTTTCTTTATTGTGGTTGAAAAAAAGGTATTGTAACGTTATAAAGAAACGGACACCGTCTCTTCTATCCAGGCATTGATGGGTGTCGAGTTCTTGGGGCCATGCCGGGGCACAGACACATCCCTGGAGATCGCCCGGAGAGATTCCTTCAGCCCGGCAACCGGCATGAGGACCGGGGTCAAGCAACTGGCCTGCGTCATCACCGAAGGCCGTGCCGTGGACGAGAAGAAGATGATCCAAGAGGCCGACACCCTGAAGAAGACCGGCGCCCAGCTAATGGTGGTTGGGGTCGCCAAGGTTGACAGAAAGCGGTTGGAGATTATCGCGTCCGAGCCAGATGATATATTCATAGCAGAGGACTACGAGGAGCTGCAGGACTTCTCACACAGAGTGAAAAGACGAACTTGTGAAATCGGTAACGTTCTTAAGTAAACAGGAAGAGACATTCGCCTTAGGCTGTAGTTTATAATTAGATTATCACACACATTTCCTATTGGGTCTTCATTTCCAGCTTACATTCATTGACTCCTCGATACTAGTGCTCCATGAAAACAAACCTTTTCACATACCCCTTCACCACTCTCGCTCAAACCATCTTACTCTATCTTCCCCCAACGGCAATATTTCCCCATGGCATGTTCCCCTCACCTACTCCCGGTCATTTAAATCTTTCAGCCAAACAAAGGTCCTACGGCAGAGGACTAGGCTTCATGAATTTAATTTATCATCAATACTTCACATTCGTGAAAGCTGTGAGAGAAAATATGCAAAAAAAGGGAGGGGGGTGGAGTAATAAATGCAAAAAAGAACAAAAAAATGTAAGCAAACAACAACAAAATATCCCGAAAAGGCCTTACGCCAAATCGACATTAAGAAAATAGTTCTTATATATGTGCATATAATGGGCACTCATTATGATGAGACCAGATGGGCAACGAAAGAAGACAGGAAGTTTATTATACAGGTAAATAGATGTTCAAATATAACCTTACATCAGTGGCTTTGGAAAAGGGAGCGGAGGTGATGGTCCACCCGGGGCGGCAGTTCAATCGTTATGTAAAGGAGCGGCATTTTTCAGCCTCTTGGAGAGTGTTTTGGTGAAAGGGGAGTGGCCCGGGCATCACTAAAACTGGTTACTCCACTGTCCTACATTAGTAAGAGAGTTTAGTTATAAGTTTGTATTTTAAGCTCCCTGGTTGAGTCAGCTTGTGACCTAATCTGTATTTTAGCTCCGCAGTTTCAGTCAGCTGACGACATCCTCATACTCGTCGACTCATCCAGCAGCATCACGGCAGACGACTACGACAAGGAACTTGAGTTTGTGGTGAGCCTCACGGAGTGCTTCAACATCGGACCCCAGGCCGCCAAGTTCAGCGTCGTGATCTTCTCCTCCATGATCCAACTCGTGTGCGACTTCAACGTCAGCACCCACCGACAGATCAAAGAGGTGGGATACACGTTAAGGCCTTAAAATTTCCTGATAATTTGTGTATGCCTGAGAGTAAAAATATGAGTAACCCATACTTTAAATGTAAATATCGGTTGTTTCAACACTTCCAAGTTTTTCATATGGAAGTCAGATTCCGACTCACAAATTGCAGCATGCGCCAAAAGTAACAATACAGAAATTCCCGCTTCTTGAACGAGGCGTGTGTTTGTCAACGAGTCATATCTCAAGCCAACACGTGTTCTCTGTCAGGAAAAGGATGATATTTTGGATAGTTGGTGTTGGAACTCGGTCTTTCAACGGGGTAAAATGTATTAATAGTCGAGCAATATTTTCAGTCATTAATTATTCATTAATGAATGTAAATCGTGAGCTTGCTTAAAATAAAGTTGAAATAATAATTGGCAAAGAGATTTTTTTTAAAAGACTTTAATAAGTATTGAATTGTGGAAAGTTATTCTGTCAGTGAAAGGAAGAGTGATTGACTTGTAAGTGAATGTTTTTTTTTGTTTTTTTTTTTTGCTTTGAGCCACACTTTCCTTTGAAAATCTGGATTCTCAAACTTCATAGTAAGAAATTTTAAAATTCAATAATCAGGGCTCTTATATCCGTCTCCGTCAAGCGTTGTCCAACATGTATCGGATACGAAAATGTACCCATGTCCTTAACCATTTGTTGAAGCGACATAATGCTTGTATTCAGTTTGAATATTGCCGTCTCGTTACAATCTGTTTATGCGCCGAGTTGACGCTCTTTTATCGCCCTTTCAAACACTATACAGACGTCCCACATCTGCTGGGGGTCGCCTTAGATCAGGCTTTCTCTGTGGATGTCTGGGGGTGTTACCAACCCCCCACTCATTAGTTTCGGGCACTCGGCTAGCAAGTGCACTACTGTCTCTGGCGCCTGGTCCACATTGAGTAAAACAGAGTATGATTAAACCTGAAAAATTAAACGCAACAAAATAGCGAACGTGTCGGCAGAAAGCCTTCGTCAGCGAACAACACAACAGAAAAAAACGTTATAAAAATAAGAAATAGCACTTAGCTGGTAAGTAGTATCTGTGGGCAGCAATAGAAGTGTGGCAGAAGTGTGTTTCCCCAAGGGCAGCTTTCAGATACGCGACGGTTTCCTCTGTACAAGCCGCAACGTTATCTATGCCATTGTCTGCACCCGCTGTCAGATGACATACATAGGGGAGACTGGACGCCGTCTCTCGGACAGGTGTACCGAACACCTCCGAAACATTACACAAGATAAACAGTGTCCCGTCTCCAAACACTTCAATAGTAGTGACCACCGGGGCAAGGCGGACTTTTCAATAAGTGCGATTGTGGCCAGCACTAACACCGCCAGCCGGGTCAATTTGGAACACAGACTTATCCTGACTTACGGCACTTTGACGCCAGATGGGATTAATGTTATGTCTCTGTTCACAGCTTGACCCTAGCTCCGCCCCTCCACGTTCTGACCTATCACAGTGAACTTTTTTCTCCCCCCTTTTTTCGCCGCTGCTTATTTAAACTCTCACTCATTTTCCTTCTGCCACACTTCTATTGCTGCCCACAGATACTACTTACCAGCTAAGTGCTATTTCTTATTTTTATAACGTTTTTTCTGTTGTTTTTTTCTGCCACACTTCTATTGCTGCCCACAGATACTACTTACCAGCTAAGTGCTATTTCTTATTTTTATAACGTTTTTTCTGTTGTTTTGTTCGCTGACGAAGGCTTTCTGCCGACACGTTCGCTGTTTTGTTGCGTTTAATTTTTTCAGGTTTAACCATACTATGTTTTACTCATTTTATTTTGTACTAACCTGATTGCAGTCTCTCCCCTTATGGTCCACATTGACGGCATCTTGGGTCCCGAAGAGGATGTAACCCATTCAAGTGGCTTCGAGTAAAACAGTGTTTTGTTGTTTTTTTTCTCATCCGTGTGATGAGGCTCTGGAATCGCGTTTTAATTTCCCCCATTGGTCCCCTTTCCTGTTTGCGTATGGCATGTTCCGATCAAGTTTACGGGCCGTGTCCCCTTTCTCCCAATTTTGTACCCACTCCTATCGGAAGACAGTTTATAACCAAGCTTTGACCCCAGTTACGCGAGTGGTCGGGTTTGATTGTGGCCGGACAGACCCTTGCCTTGCTAGTAAGTCAGCTCTTTCAGATTGGCGTAATCCCGTGTGTCCAGGGATCCATTGTGGGACCCCTCTGCCCTCATGGGACTTCACTAAAAAAATAATAAAAATCATGACAATTTTCCAAGCCCTTGAAATGTTTATCTAGGAAACAGTAAATCAGACTAGATGTAATACGTCCATTATTGCGTTAACCATTTTCTTGTCTAATGATCCCCTCCTAACCGCCTCTAATGCCAACTGTTAGTCGGTAAACACTAGGATGGACGGAAGTGTGGTCTTAGTTTAGCTTGGATTTCTGCATCGAAGTTTGTACAATACTTCCCTTAAATCTCCTCTGCGAGAGGTACTCGCTTTGGGTATTGCATGAGTGCACCTTATCCGACGTTATTGTCGTTGGTTAAGCAAGAGCCATTCTTTGGATTGTTCTGCCAAATTTGTTCAAATATGGTCACCCGTTACAATACGCGTCAATGTATACGCAATACGGTTTCCATTTATCATGATCTTATAATTAAGGTAATTCTATGTCCTCAGCCTTAATTGTTTTTAAAATCGAAGTGGAGAGGGGGGAGCAAGGAAAAGTAGTGAGAGGGGGGGGAGTTGAGAATTTATTTTTTTTATAATCGTATCCATTGCAAACAAACTGAAGAGCTTTTTTTGCACTCTTATCTACGTGTATTCCTCTCTCTTTCTCTCTCTCTCTCTCTCTCGCTGCCTCTCTTTCCCTCTCTCACTCTCTATTTGTCTCTCTATTCGTCTCTCTCTTCCTCTCTCATTCGATCTATCAATCAATGTCTCTCTAACTCTTTATATTTGTCTTTCATTTCCCACCCCCCTCTCTCTCACTCATTCCGTGTATTATTATGCTATGCCCCAAACGAGTCATTGATGATCCCACGTCCAACAATATTGACACATTAAAAGCTGATTTCAATTAAACATGTTCCCCAACCCTTTTTAAAAAAAAAAATACATGTTCCCCATAGGCGGTGATGGCTGCGCCACATCTCTCCCAGTCGACAGACACAGCGGCGGCACTGCGCAAGGCAAGACTGAAATGTTTCACGACACAAAGCGGTCTGCGGCCCACGGGGAACAAAATCGTCCTGGTCATCACCGATGGTCAGTCCAACGATGTCGAGGAGACCAGAGCAGAGGCCGACCTACTGAAACAGAGCGGCGCTCTTGTCATGGCCGTGGGTGTGGCTGAAGCCAACGTGAACGAGTTGAGAACCATCGCGTCCGTCCCTGAAGTTGTCTACCACGTGAACAAATTTGACGCACTGCACACCATACAGGACGACATCGCCAACAACGCCTGCAGGCTCAGTAAGTCTCTCAAGATTGTATTGGCTGGGTTAAAAGCTCTGACCTATTTCTGTTACAAAGTAAAAGTTGAATTTAAACACAAGAAGCCTTGCTTACTAGTTAGGACAACGTAACCACGTTACGCGTATTAGTGGTGTAAAATCTAAAGTAGTAAATCCATATGGCCCTCCATATATCCACCGCTGATCCCGTCCTTTAGGTTGCACCATCCCATTTCTTTTTTAAACAGCTTGGAGTCAAATCATGCCTGAGAAAATACTTTAGATGGGGCTGGAATGGTGAGGAAAATAATTTGTATTGAAAAAACCACAGTTATCTTTTCAATGGGAGGTAATACTTATGACACTGCCGTTTCTCAGTATTTTCCTTTATTACATCCCTGCGCGAATTGTATATTGTGAAAATTATCTTTAAAAAATTGTGAATTCAACAAAAATTATTAAATTTATTCTAGAAAATTTCATCCGATGTTACCAGGATTATAATGGAATGCATATTACTCTACATTCTATCTACTATTGCCAAGTCTCAACATGAAAAAAAAAAAAATCAAATTTCTACGTATAGATCTAAACCTATCAAAGGTCATCGGGATATGATTTTTTAAAATCATATATTATAAAAACCTACACATTTTTTTACGCCCCTGAACTGCTAAGGGGGAAAAATATCATAAATTGTAAAAAAAAAATGTCCTTAAATTTAAAAAAAAAACGAAAAAAAAATTTACTAATTTTAAATATCTGTAACATTAACGGATTGTGATTTAGTGGTATCTCATGAAAAAAAATTACCCAAATATGTTGCTTCGCTTCTGAACTAAAATATCAAAATGGTAAAAAAAAAAGAAAAAAAAAGCAGAATTCTTATGCCTAATGAATAATCTCTTAACCAATTGTCATGTCTGTAAAAGCCTGATGCTTTGCTCAAAGTAGAAAACCAAAATTTTCATACATAAATATATATATATATATATATATATATATTATTGTAAACATGTTGTTACCTTGTTACCTCTACTCCGTGCCTTACCTCGTGTACGAAACTGAATCGAATTGAATGCAAATGTCACGAAAAAAAGTGGAAAGCAGAAGGTCTCAATCTATGTCTATGTCGCAACAACGTCAGAGTCCATCTTCTTGCAGTTAAACAGTTGCCTGATGCTCTACACAGCCTCCTTACTAACTATAACACTGAGTCTAAGCATGTTTGGACAAATAGAAAATAGAATGGGTCTTTCCATATAATATATATATAATATCACATGTAAGAGTTTTTTAGGTGTGTATTTATGGATGTAATCCGTCTTGACCAGGCGCGCAAAATAAATTTCCCAGAAGTAAGCACTAATTAGACTTCTTATGTCATGTGTAACTTGAATGCATATCTTGTCAAGCACCTTAAGTAGATGGGAAATTCACGCACTGCCCCCGTCATTGTGTATATAATTGGGCTATAATTGTGTAAAATGATAAATATATAAATATTTTAATATTTACCATGTATTTTTAACCTGTCTTAAATGGATCCTTTGGCGTTATTGGGATTCTGTTTCGTGTGTAATATTATCATGTGAAATGTAAAAACTTATTTTAAAAAGTGGACCATTTCATCGAATCCAGTGGTGTGGTGGAGACACGACGGTCTAATTCGCGCTTACCGACTAGAAAAGTGTGTCTGTTCTACCGAACCGAACCAATAGTTTAAAAAGTTGAACATGTTAAAACAATGAAATAAAAGGTCAATTCTTCCAAAATTCAAATGTAAAAAAAAATGAAAATTTTAAGAATGAACTAATATATTAACTTAAATTTGAAGTTGTCAATATTTTGCTGGCTATTATGACGCTAGTAGAGTTTGGAAATCATACGGATAGCGCCGCTAGCAAAAGCAATGAATTCACTTGAGGGTTTCACTCTAGTTTCATTCAGACAAATCCATTTTAAAAATAGGAAATGACTTAAATGATAAAAGTACTAAATACAATTTTTAATCACACTAAGAAATTAACCAGTGAGGTCGTTACTTTTACATACCATTGGTCGCGGCAATTTTTTTTAAAAATTTAAACATTATAAAGATACCATGAAGTAGATGTGGAAAAAAACTTATTGAAGTAAAGCTTTTTAATTTATCTTAAAGAAAAAAAATGACGGTCTGTTCTGTTGAGCGCTCCTCAACTTACTCGAATAATGTTTTAAAAATCAAGCAGGAACGAGGAAAAAATTTTCAAGGTGCAAGCTGCTCTTGTCTTTTTTACAAAACCTTGGACGTACCCCAAATCACTCAACGAATGGATTGATATGTTCTCTATAACTGACAAGTACCACACCGCTGCCTTTATCTAACTAGGACAGGGATACAATGAAACAAATAGTTAACACCCTTGATTTATGCGTACATCATATCCCCGTTTAATTTTGTTAATAATATCCTTTGGAAAAGCTTGTTTTAAATTTTAACCGCCGTAGCCGTGTTTTAATCCCTCTTGAGCAAAAATTATTGATTATAATTATGATTGATTGTTAACAGTTCACAGTGTATGAAAGTCTTGCATGTAATGCTACCTGATAGAAACATCTGTTTGGTTTAAATATTCTGTTACATTACCATGCAAGTAAATACTCATTACATTTCACATGTTAAAAAATAATGTTTATAAGTAGACATACTTTTTTTTCTATGGCATTTGTATAGATAAGTTGGCTGGTAGAGAGACAGAACGTCAAAGAGAGGCTGAACGCCAAAGAGAGGCAGAACGTCAAAGAGAAGCTGAACGCCAAAGAGAAGCTGAACGTCAAAGAGAAGCTGAACGCCAAAGAGAAGCTGAACGTCAAAGAGAAGCTGAACGTCAAAGAGAGGCTGAACTTCAGAGACAGGCTGAGATTCAGAGACAAGCTCAAATTCAACGACAGAATGAACTTCAGAGACAGGCAGAACGACAGAGAGAGATTGAGCGTCAGAGAGAGATTGAACGCCAAAAAGAGATTGAACGCCAAAAAGAGATTGAACGACAAAAAGAGATTGAACGACAAAAAGAGATTGAACGACAAAAAGAGATTGAACGACAAAAAGAGATTGAACGAGTGAGAAAAGCTGAACAAGAGCGGGAAGCACTGCGTATCAAAGAAATAACATTGACCAAAGCTGTCAACGACATGAGGGTATGTATTGAATTTAATAACATACGTGTATGTACTAAATATACTGACATTAGTGTATGTTTTATATTCAGTGACATAAGTGTATGTATTAATTATACTGACGTTAGTGTATGTTTTATATTTAGTGACATGAGTGTATGTATTAAATATACTGACATGAGTGTATGTTTTATATTCAGTGACATGAGTGTATGTATTAAATCTAATGACATGAGTGTATGTTTTATATTCAGTGACATGAGTGTATGTTTTATATTCAGTGACATGAGTGTATGTTTTATATTCAGTGACATGAGTGTATGTTTTATATTCAGTGACATGAGTGTATGTTTTATATTCAGTGACATGAGTGTATGTTTTATATTCAGTGACATGAGTGTATGTTTTACAACATGGCATCCTCCTCACATTAATCCAGTTATTGTTTACCACAACAATTACAATGTAAATGATTTAAAGAGAAGAACTTGCTGCTTCCCCTTTGTCTAAATAATATTAATAATAAATGTATGTTTTCATTTTGCGCTTTAATATTAAAAGTGGCAGTCATTCGATGAGTAAATACCTCTAAATTTCAACAGATAACTCATCGTATTAAAAAGTCCGATGTGAAATTTCGCTTATTTAAGGAGAGTATCTTGTATCTCTACAAATCAAATAAAGAGCTAGTAATGTTCCAGGATTTGCTATTTTTAACGTATTCACTTGACAGATAAACATGCCAGCGTCCTCAATGAAACAAGAAACAATTAGCCTGATACTCATAGGATCGTCACTGAGTGGCAAAAGTGAAACAGCGAACATGATCTTGGGCTCAGAGAAATTCCGCGCCATTGGCCGTCAGGGTGCACACACTCATATGGAATCGGTCAGTCATGACAACTTTGAAGTCAACATCATAGAATGTTCTGGGTGTCTTGGCACGGCAAGCGTTACTCTGGATGTGTTGACCGTCACCCATGACATCATGGTCGAGACCTTAAATATCTGCCCCAAAGGAATCCACGCACCCATATTTGTGATGAAGTTCAACGCGAATACCCGCGTGATGGAAGCCCATTTGGAGTTTGAGATTATGAAGCGCATGTTCGAGGCCGACTTTATAAAACAACACGGCGTCTGCGTCATCACCGGGGCCGAAGAGTTCGCCGACTGTTGTGGAGATTCAGACCAGGTCACGTTCTCGAACTGGATTCAGCGACAGGGTGGGCTGCTGGGAGAGATATTCAAAGCGTTCAACCACAGATGCGTCCTGTTCGATGTTGAAATGTCAAGCAGGAATCCCAGGATGATGAGCCGAGAGTCACAAGTCAAAGAATTGCTGACTGTGGTAAAAAATGAATGGCCCCAGCCTATTGCAGTGTCTGTCAGTAAGTAAAGTTAAATCACAATCGCCCATCTTTTTTTTTAAAGAGGGAATTAATATAAAGCAAAGAATATAAATTGTATAACTAACTTGTATAAAGAAATCAATACAAACACATTGTCTATTATTGGGTGGAGCAATTTCCAGAATCTTTAACATGTTAAAATCGGAAACTTTACATCTCCAAAACAGAAAGGAAGCTTTGCGGCTAATTGCTTCAAGTTCCAATACGAATTGTTGGTGAACCTTCTATTAAAATTAAAAAGAAGTAGGCTGTTGATAACTCAACAAATTCCACTGTTTTGTTTCGTCATTAAGAGCTTTTGAATATATTTGCTAAACCCAACACCTAGACCCTGACATGTGCGCCAGAGCTGACATCCACCTGGTTGTGGAGACTGCGAGCACCGAGGACGCCTATCAGAGTCAGATGGAGTTTGCCGCACGCTACGTCACGGAATACGATTGTGATGAGTCGGAGGTGGAGATCTGCGTGACGGTTGTCGGAGAGACGGACCACCGGAGGTACTTCCTGAAACAGTATGACAGCCACAAGGCCATGGCCGAGGTAGGTCATAGCCATGGGCGCCCGCAGGGAGGGGGTGGTAAGGGGGGAATTTGCCCCCCCCCCCACGATTGATTGGATAAAAAATTTTTAGACAAAAATAGACAAAAAATGTATTAAAGTAAAGAGAAAATAAAGAGAACGTAACTAAGCTGATGTCCTGTCCGTTCGTTCACCATACAAATACGCTACAGTAAATTAAAACTAAATTAAAACATTACTAAAAAAATTCCCCCCCCCCCCTAGAAAGTTAATCGATTTTTTTTCCCGCCCCCCTAGAAAGTTTTCTGCATGGTCACAGCAAACATTTTCTTAAGAAGCAGTTTTGCACCAAGTGTTTATTTATATTATCGTTCGATTTTTGACTGTTAAATAGCTTTTGTTTTATTTATAGGGCTTTGGTTGTTGGAGGGGGGGGGGGTTAGTTAAGGTACCATCATGCTGTTAAATTCATTTCAAACTCTAATTTCATCACTAAAATTTAGTTAGAAAAAGAAAGATTATTATGCAAAATGAAAAAATCAATGATACAATAAAAATAAGTTAACAAATTAATTAATACCAGCTAATCAATATGGCAGGTAAATAACTAAAGCTAGAGAACCATTCTCTAAGAGAAATAAGTGACAAAAGCAACAATGAGGCAGAAATCATAGTCAGTTATGTATTTAAGACTTCTTTTAAACATCTGTTTTGCCTAAGCCTGAATGTCTTTAACCTTAATCAATTATAAACACATGTGGGCTCTTGTGCAAACATTTATTGAAATACGATCATCTCGTAGGCTGTGACCAAGACACCGTTCCTTGGAGCGTGCCAGAGTTCCCAAAGATCTCTCATCAAAGCACAAGAGGTGGTCAGTTCAACGACACGGCGTTCCGATGCAGATCAGTTGGCCATCGTCATGAGTGGGGGAGTTGCCTATGATGTCGACCAGGCGGTGGAGGAGGCGGACAAGCTCAAACAGCTCGGAGCGAGAGTGATGGTCATCGGTGTGAGGAGCCTGAACCAGAGATTTTTGGAGATGATCGCGTCTGACCCTGATGACGTTTACATCGTCACAGACTACGGAGAGGCAATGACCAGTCTGACTGTTAAAATAAAAACTAAAATATGCATCATCGGTAATAACGACTGGCGTACTTCATAGAAATTGAAGTACGAATGTTTTTGACTTATAAAAATATTTTTGTAACTAAGGTTTTTAAGTACCCAGCCTTGTCTATTAAATTAATAAATGGATAATAATATCGTACACACGACTGCATTGTTGTCAAATGCAATGTTAAACAAAAGATGTCGAAATGGTTTTACCTTCATACGAAAAATCAAAATGTAACTACTTGTATTAACATAGGCACAATTGCTAAGTCGTAGGTTCAATAAATTTATAAATATTAATATATATATATATATATATATATATATATATATAATATATACATATATATATATATATATATATTATCAAATTCTACATCTGAGTCGAGACAGTTAGTCACTTAGCTCAGTAGAGTTCCGCTTACCAGAAACAAATGTGTATTATTGATATATACCCATACACGCTTGGAAAGTTAAAGAGAAGTTGCTTAAAAATTGAATAAGGTAATCCATGCAATGAAAAAACTAAATAGAATTAGGATATGGCCAATTCTTCAGTTTCAGTGATGTTGCTCTTTTACCGTGCTAAGCGGGTGAATAATCAGTCATTAGATCTGTTTTTCCTGACTTTCTTCGTAAAGTGTTAAAAAATGTCTTTCCTTCCGCATTCGTTTTGTAAGCAGGTCTTCATGAAACATTCTCAATAGTTTCTTTGATTTACCCACTTCACTTATTTAATTAAAGGTCACATATTTTCCCGAATCACACTCTTCTTTTATTAAATACACCACTTTCTCTTATCTCACAGCTCCAGCGTTTAAATCGACTGCAAACGTCCTTTTTGTCATCGACTCATCTGGAAGTATCGGCACAGCAAATTACGCCAAAGAGCTCGACTTCGTCGTCAAGGTGACGTCCATGTTTAACGTTGCGGTCAACGCAGTGAACTTCAGCGCCATCACGTATTCCAATTCCATCATCCCCCTTTTCGGGTTTGACGTGGCTACACACCAGGAGATAAGACGTGTTTGTATAATCAATTAAATTATTTCGCTTTCAGAAATTAATGAGATTCATAGTAAATTATTCCGTACTAGATAGATCCCGCCAAACATTGGCGGTGTGAACTTCCCATCTATTAAAGTTACTTGACAAAACATGAACGCACATTTAAGAATCCCAATATTTGGTGCACAGTTCCCTCATGATACGTCACTTCACACTTTTTATTCAACGCCCATGAACTATATTAATATTCTCCTGTCCCAACCACTTTTAAACCGAATATTTTTTACATAATACCTAAATTGAGACGATTTCATTTCCTTAAAGAAAATATTACGCACCAAACGCAATTGCGTTATTTAAAAAATATATATAACATATAGCGTAGTTATCGGGAATTATATTTTGCGCGCTAGTGAACTCATTATTGAACCACACTCTGGCGTAGCTATATATAGCCTGCGTGGTGGTGGTGGTGTTTGACCTTTGCTGGCGAATTATATATATAGATGTAACATTGTCACTAACGCTACCAGATGGCGTTGATTTCACTAAATAAAATTCCTGCGCTAAATTGGATTCTTTAAAATATTGCAATTGCGTTTGGTGCGTAATATTTTCATTTGCTTTACGGAAATAATTGGTGTAATAAATACGTGGTGTAAAAATGGTTGGGGCATTGTAATGTTAATAGAATTCAGATGGGGGGACCACGGGCGTACAGGAGGGGGGGGATACCACTATTTGGGAATCATTCAAAGTACTTTACTTGAATGCATGTTATTTAAAGTAACTTGAGTTGATTCAAAATTCACGAATTTCAACCGCCATTATTTTGCAGGCTATAGCTATTGTTTATATTAGTGCATAAATGAACTTCTAGATGATGTTAGTTCGCATCAAAAGTCTACTTCGGTGTATTTAATGAAATGTGCTTGCTTATTTCTTTAGCATAAAATGTTTGTGTTTCTTCCTGGTTTATTTCTTTTGAAATCTATCAAAAATATCTAATAAGAACTTTGGATATTTAAATTATGGCAGTCAATTAGAAAATTAGCATATTTTCTTCCTTCAAGTGGTTTATAAGGAAAATATTAAAATCCAGGCTACACTCAACGCTGTCTATCAAGCTGGTGGCACACCCACTGCTATGGCTCTGCGCAGGGCAGGAGACATCTTAACGTCATATTCCCAGGTGTACCGTCGTGATTCCAAAAAAATCGCCATCGTTATCACCGATGGAGCGTCAGACGACCCTAGGGCAACCTGTGAAGAGGCGCAGCGACTTCAAGACATCGGGATATTCGTCATAGCCATCGGCGTAGCTGGGGCTAAACGGGAAGAGCTAGAGATTATCGCCACCAGTGTTGAGGATGTACATGATGTGGATAGTTTTGATGCACTAGTTACAATCAAGAAGAACATTGGCAAAAACACCAAGGAACTAGGTAAAATAATTTTTTATTTTTTTTTTGAAAATCAAAAGATTCTGTATATCTATTCAAAACTGCAATTTTAAGAAACTCTAAATGATACTGACTTGATATCAATTAGAAAAATGTACGAATGGCGCAAGGAAGTCCCATGGTTGAAAGGCGTTTACTCAAATATTTTTTAGCTTATTGCGCTAATCGATATTTTTTAGTTGGCTTGTGGGGGATTGACTATGTGTGGAGCGGGAGGTGTGAGTTTGGAAGTGCTTTTGATTGTAAATGGTCGGAAACAATGTGGTTGTTGGGGGGGGGGAGGGCAGAGTGTAAGAATGCGTAACAATTTAATTCTGCTAAATTTAAAGTGTCTGCTTAATCATATTTTATAATCTCTACGTTGTGTGTCTGTTACAATGAAATGATGAAGTTTTGAACACGAATCCCTAAAGTTTCACTATCGTTTTACCATTTGGATATTACAGAGAACGCTGTAAGGGCCTCAAGACAGCGTGTCATGCCAGAAGTTCCAACTGTGTTTTCCGTCTTAAGCAAAGTTTGGCCATTTAAGTAACACTTTACATTACCAAGTCAATTTCTATGTTTCGAACGTTGGTTTTTTTGTGTGTGGATTCAGCAGGCTTGTTAAAGATAGAATCAGCCCCCATATATTAAATGCATAGTTATGTTTTATTGCACACAAATGTTTTTATTTTTAAAATAACCTGAATATAGAGAAGATATTAAGGTCTCTTGGGCTGAGAAATAAAAATAGTTATTAGTTTTAGAACTCTCTTAATTAAACTTTTAAACATTATAGACTACTTAGTATAAAAAAACGAAAAAAAAAAAAACTACTTATTCTCAAGTAAGATTTTTCATCTTTTCATATAATATAAAAATTTAGATAATCAAATGTGGGTTGACATACTTTGATGCCACCACTCCACTTTTTCGTATGTGCACTATTAAAATTTAGTATTTTATTTCAGTACAGTGTATTTATGTGTTGTTTATCTAAAAGATCTTAACGTTTAATAATAAAATATTTGCATTAAAAGTCATTTTGTTCGTAGGGGATTTAAACATCCTCATTGTTAGAACTAATAGGCCACTCATTTAAATACCGTGTTTTACTTTATTCGATCAAAGCTTCATAATTATATGGAATCGATACATGTTCTTATAATCTTCACTCAGTGGTCGGCAATTCCGCGGCTCGATAGCCGCGTGTGGCTATAACGACCTGAGTGCGGCTCGGCCAGTTGGCCACAGATCGGTTTCGACTCCGACAAACGTGGTTCTTGACAGGTTCTTGAAAAGAAATGTGGCTCTCAAGATTTATAAAATCTTTCTGCTGCTCATTTTTTGCTCTTTTGACTAATGAGCTGCTGACAAATGTATTAGCCCGAGCGTTCAGCTACATCAGTCTTCTTAGAAATACATTTTTTTTAAAAATTATTGAATTTTATAAAAAGTGTTTACATAATCTGGATCTCTTAATGTATAGTTTGTAAACATTTTTTTTTATATATATGCCAACTTGCCACAACTGCTCCCAGTCTAGAAATCGTCTTACTGTGCTTAGAGTTTGTTTAGGTAAGCCCCATTATCTGATATCGACTTGGGCAGAATACGCCAAGCTTATGTTGTTGTTGTTGTTTTTGTGGGTTTGTTTTTCATCTTTATAGATGCAAAATTAAATTCATTGAAAGCTAATTATAGTTTCAAATTAAAGATAAATGAAAAAAAAATTAAACGATGCTCGTTATCTTAAAATGCCAAGCAATAATGAAGTACTGCTAAGTGGACAATTTGTATAAGCAATCACTAAGAGAACTCTCATATTTATTATTGTAAAGGTTTCTGCTGGCGATCGGTGTTGCAAGCCTTCTGTAAATATATGCACAGTACGTCAATTCTATTAAGTAGAACTCCGCAAAAAATATATTTTACAGTAAACTTTAAGAGGAAAATCTTAGTTTTTTTGCAATGTCCGCTTACTGGTTTCAACTGTAGGACCACACACAGGAGAAATGAAGCTCTGATGACACAGCGCTTTTAAATTACCCCCCCCCCCCCCCCTTTTAAAAAAAAAAAAAAAATCAGCTAACTCCCTATTGTTTGTCCGGCAATTAATAGGTCTACTTCGCGAAATAAGGTCATAGAGAGGTAGTCAGTTTTAGACACACCGATTTTTTTACATTGTCTGAAACTTCATGTTTTCCAATTTTTTCTTGTAAAAGAAAAAAAGAAAACGAGTCCGTGAAACAATTATGGTTGTGAGTAAGTATACATATATTAAGTGTTTTTACATAAATTTCATGTATTGATTGTTAGCAAAATAATTTGAGACCACATACTTTGTAGGTGATAAAAATCTGAGAAAAATATCACCGCCTATTGAATTTAAAGAAATTTAGGCCTACATTTTTTAACCTTACTTTTCCTGCCAGGTATGAATTTAAAATATTAAATTTTGGATATTGAGGTAATTTTTGGAAGTTTTTAAAAATAGTTTGGCCTATAGTTTTTTTTCGAAAACAAACCAATAATATGATTTGCTAACTTTTAATTAACGCTGAATGAGAGAAATTGAGAACTTAATTATATTTAACAACAATTTTCTATGATAATATCCGACATTTATTGCAATCTATGTTATGTTATAAGCACAACTATTAATTTAGCCTATTGGTTTTTTAAAATGTTTGTATCACTTTAATGTTGTCAATTAATGTAGAATTATTAAAAGTTCATAATCAAAATGCTTTGTTGCGTTTTTTTTTTCATTTTTTTTTTAAAACTGTTTTATCTTCATTTTATAACAGTAATAGATACAGCGTAATGAAATGTTTAAAACACCTCCTCCACCCCCCCCCCCTTCAATTAATGTAACATTATTAAAGGTTCATAATGAAAATGTTTTGTTGCGTTTTTTTTTTCATTTTTTTTTTAAAACTGTTTTATCTTCATTTTATAACAGTAATAGATACAGCGTAATGAAATGTTTAAAACACCTCCTCCCGCCCCCCCCCCTTTACACCCACCCAAAACAAAAATCAGTTATGAAACAGAGCTATGCACCTTTGCCCATTTCCATTTACAAAGGGATGGGATTGTTAACAAAAGTTCATTTGATAACTAACTGTTGATTGCATTTAATTCCATCCATCCAATAGAACGTATTTAAATTCAAATGGTCGAGATGGCAAGTTGTTGTCATCATATCGTTAGGATATTTCAGATTTGAAGGTTGAATAAAGGTGGCACTCGTGAGCCGGTAAAAGAATGAGTGGTATACAATTTAAATTCTATGGCCTCAACTATCACAGACATACTGGACCTACCTAATGGCTGAGACTGTCCAGAAGCAGGCCAGCGGCATTGCCATCGGTCCCAAACCTATTTAAATTTACACAACCTTCGTAATACATAATCTTTTGCAAAGCAAGGCTTTTAATTTAAATATTGTATTTATTTTTTCAAATTTTTTTTTTCAACTTCATGAAAATAATGCAAAAACGTGGCCACTCTTACTGTACATACCAATTATTCCAGTGTAATAAAAAATTATTTCACTTACTTATATTGGTAATTACTTTTTTTTTAATAAAGAACTGAAAAAAAAAATAGTTGGCATCACACCAATTAAAAAGGAACAGAGTTATATATTTTTATTTGCTTTGCATCATTCTCTCGTCAGAATGAGAGCCACGTAAACTTCACAGTTTGCCTACTGCTGAAAATCTCCTTCAAGAGACCTGTAAATCAATGTGTCCTTTTACTTCCGTTACTGTTAAAAATGTCCCTGAACATCATGTGACATGCATTTTCACTTGTAATAACTTCGTCGTTTTGATTTCAACGTAGTCAGTGTCAGAGGGGACAAATCAGCTGAGGATTAAATTTAAAAAAAAAAAATTAATGTCTAAACTGAATAGATCTATTCCCGAAAATTCATCAATTTATAAGCAAATATAAATTTTAAATTTAACAAACATTGAAAGAATTGAATTTTTGTCAATTTCACAATATCTTAAATTCATATAGTTACGTCTTATGACTTGAACTAACGCCAATAGACATAACCTTTGGAGGAGTGTCGTATTTAGAGGATACGTGAGTGCGCACGTCTAAAATTGACACTCTAATACTGGCACTATGACGATTAAATATTAACGCTGCATAATACAAACACCAACAATATTTATTACAGCCATTTAGCTAAAAATCGAAATTAAGGGCCCTGTTAAAAAAAACATCTTTAGATTTAAAAAAAGAAAAACAAAATTCTCATTGAATAATAACTTTTTTTCAACGTTTCATTCCACGATATAATCCCGTTTCGAAATAGGATCCACTTTCATTGGGGTCCCGTTTTCAGATGGGATCTTGATCCCAGTATCGTCCCGATCCCTTTTGCGATCCGTATCCCGTGGGGTTCACTAATATTAATTGTGATCCCGTTTCTCGATGGGATCACGATCCCGGTGGGATCCAGTTCCTCTGGGGGATCCCGTTCCTTGGTTGGATCCGTCCCCAGTAGGAGCTCATTCATATTGTGATCTATTCTCCGTTGCGATACTGTTACCAGGTGGGGTCACGGTTTGTCTGTTGGATCCCTTCCCACGTTGGGATTTAAAGATAGTAAACAAGATGCGAGCATTTATATGCGAAGCTTCTTGAATAATTTACTCGTAGAAACTGAGAAAATCCCCAATATATATAGAAATAGTATAGAAATTATTATTCAATCATTTATTTCAATAGGCTTTTAGATCCCCTTATTTAATCCCGTGGAACAATATAGAATTTTCTGGAACATTCCAGATTAAGTTACATAAAATTTAGACAGGCCGTAATTAATTAGGAGGGGCCATGAACGCTTTACAGTGTTTACAAGGGCGAGGAAAAGCCGGAGAGAGAGGAAGAGGGTGATGGTGTAAATGGCGTGAAAATTTGTGACAAAATTATTTGACATCATAAAATAAATAACATCAGCATTTTAAGATATTGAAGTGTGAAAAAAAGAGGCGTTTATCATATTTTATTATACTAGAATAAATGACCCGATGTTATCGAAATAATAGTGGTAGGTCCTTTGCGATAATTTCTACTTGCTATTGCAAAATCTCATCACAATTCCTACCTTTAAAAAAAGTATCTATATGATGATATTTACGTTTCTAACATCATTAAGTTTTGAGAAGTATTTATCTGCTCTATATTATACGCCTACCCTACTCCCTTTCACTCCCCTAAACTACTTTTCCCTTCTAAACATGACCTTAAAATACCTAACTAAATTATCATTAATTATATCAGTTTTGTCAGTTAAGAAGTTAATTGAGGGGCGATTTCTACGCTAGAGAATTAATTTAAATGTTCCCTTTTCGTGTCCTAGAATTCCAACCTTTTTTTTCTAAAAATTGTTAAAAACATAATCTTAAATTTACAACAAAAACTCTACGTATGATATTAAATAAATTATATTAAAGAATTTGATATATTTCTATCTTCATCAAAAATTTAAACACACTTTTGCCTTGCTTTTGTAATTATGCATAGTCAGAAAATCGTGAAACAAAGAATTCTCTTATCTAAAGAAGAATCACGCAACCGTTTTTTACGTCTCTAACAGACTTGAGTTGGTTTTTTTTGTGTTTTTTTTTTGTGAAACAAAACTTCGCACCCACTTTACTTTTCGCAAAGTAAAAACAAAAATATATTTTCATTTTAAAAAAAAATCTCATTTTTTAAAAATTACCTTTTCAATTGTATAAAATGATTGGGGTTTGATATTTATGGGCATACTTTAATAACTGT